CCCCCCCCCCCCCCACCACAAAGGTCATTCTTGTGTGATCTCACCTGTATAATCGTTTCAGGGATGATTAACCTACACTTCCCCAAACAAGCAAAAGGTCCAACCCAAATCCAACCTTTCCTGCCTTGATCAACCCTCTTCAAACTAGTTCAATTGTTGCCCCAACCAATTTAGCCATCCTCCAGTCCATTCAGTCTTCTCTCATACCCAGTAAATCTTCTCCTGGCCCGCATAGTCATCTCTACGTCAGTTCAAGTTTAGCTTCATTCAGTTAAGCCCTCTCTTGACCTGTTTAACTTCTTTCCGGACCGGTTAAGTTCTTTTCCTAGTCCAATGATTTCTCTCTCGGTTTTGTCCTTTCACCTCATGTCAAAACATTTCTTGGCCAAGTCTAAAACTCTAAAGAACAATAAAAAAAATTGACACTTTTGCTTGTGTGTCCAACAAGAGTCATATCCCGAATCTATCAGACACTAATAAACTCATGACGAAGCCCACACAAGAAACATAGAGAGTATCCAACTCTTTTGTGATGCACTCCAAGCCCCAAGTAGTAGAAAAAGAAGATAATGATGATGCACATCAATAATTTTCTTAAAGACTTCTCATAAAGCACACTTTCTTTCTGGTGTAAACCAAGATCAGCCTAAAACTCATTAACTTACCCAAAAAAGAAAGAAACCAAACCTAACCAAGGTCAGCCAAATTTGGGAGATGAGCTTGTATAAATAACTCCAATTCTGACAACCAACATCTACAAGCATATTGTTCGTTTTATATAGATAAGTGGTGATAATGTGGCATTTTCCATTGGTTTAAGACCATCCCTCTCCCACCGTCGCAAGGAACTACTGATTCACCTTCCAACTTAGGTGGCTTGTGGCAGCCTGACAGGGCCTATTTGGGCTGCGTTGATAATCTTCTTAAACAAAAATTTACAAAAAAAAAAATATGCAATTTAGATGTTAGAATTATGGGAGCCACATTTTTATATTGTACAATATGTAGTTTAGGTAAGCACATGTTAACAATTACGAAAAATTGGCAGCACTTATTTTATGCAACATATTTCAAAATGATATGTTCGTTGGATGGTGTACACAAATCATGAAGTTTGTTTCTCCCAAACTACTACATCTGAATCAGTGTACAATAATAGTCATCTTGAGACAAGATTCTGACCAGCAGAAATATTGAGAATTTCTTATATTCCTAATATCCACGTATTATCAGATCACTAGATCTATATACTGGTCCAGAACGAGGGAATCCGCAGAGCAGGGGTCATCATTATCTCACCTGAGAGAGGGAAACTCAGTTTTCGTTCAAATTGGACTTTGAATGTACAAAGTTATCGAACAAAATCACCTCTTGCACCTTGTTTTATGATACTTCAATTGAAAATAATTCATAGCTGCAGAAACACGGATCATCTAAGGTGATAAAACAGTGGCAACATGACAAAGACTAACTTGAAGCAACTGCATAGCATTCAAAATGACAACTTGATTTGGAAGAATATAAAAGGAAGGAAAGGGGACAGGGGGACAGGGCTCATAAGTCATTTTGTCAAAAAAATATCAAGAAATGCCACAAGCTCAATGAAAAACACACATATAGTGTACAATTATGTTGTCTTTATTGCAAATTTAAGATGAATATTTCAGCCTTAAATAAGTTTATAAATTAACGTACCGAGGTCTTCTGCCTTCCTCAGCTTCTCATTTATCATTTCCTGTGTCTGCGGATCAGGAGCAACTACAGGCAAGGGAGCCAAGGGTGGAGGGTTTGGAAGGGGCTGAGGTAAAGAAGCACGATCTTTGTTGAAGGCATCCAGAAGAAGCATCGACTGTCATTGACGAGATAATCACATTTATAACAGGCATGAGAACAAAAATGTTGTTCTAAGACATAAAATCATATCCGTATTCAGTGGGACATCATTTTACTCAATCCATCAGTTGAAAATAAATATTTAAGGAGATGCTCCTTGACCTGTTTATCTGCTCGCTTCGTTCTGAGTTCTTCCACCACTTCCAACGCTCGAATCTTCATATCTGTCTTGCCCTCAAGATCTGTGAAATTTAGAATGGTTAATAGCCCTTGTTGTTAAATATGTCTCAGCTAAGTCTGGCAACTCGGTGAAGGAATTTCAGAATGGCTAGATTGCTTTCAAATAAGTCTATAACTAATGTAAATAACATATGGACATTTGCCCAGCCAAGAAAGATACATATCAGCACTCTCATATCAGTACAATTCAGTCAAATTTAGGACAAGATCAACAACCACTAATTTTTGTAACCCACTGTTTGAAACACAACTTGACACAAGTACACCAATGAGATGTATAATCAGCCAAAAAACATGTGTTTTCTGTTGTATACAGAAGCATGATAACCTTGAGGGTGGGAGTTTAAACTTGAGAGCAACCAAAGCTTAAGCCTGTACCCAGTCTATCCCTCCCAGACTGCAGACCCCCATTAGTGGAGACTATACTGGGTGTTATTTTTGTTAAATGTTAGGACTGTACCTGATTTATCCCTTCCCCTTCCCCTCCCCAATTAATAGTGATTAAACTGAGTGCTCTTTCTTTTTATAGTAAATAAACAATTTCGCACAGCTTTTTTCTAAAACTTCATTCACTTCCATCTTCTTTAAATCTCCAAGTGACTTTTATCCCAATCTATGATATCTGCTTAAGCAAACACTTAACTACCATACAAATTTCCCTTTACGGAGGGCGTTTCTGATGATTAAGTCAAACCCCACTTAATCAGTCAAAAGAAGAGTGGAATAATTTTAACCACACAAACAATCATAAACATTAACAACTCTTCGGAATCTGTTAATACCCACGAAGTAACTAGTAAGTCATGAAACATAGACATATTCACATAGATCTACTTAACATCTCATACTGTTTTTTTCCCAGTCTAAGATATATGCTAAAGCTAAAGTTTAACTACCTGTCCAAATTGTCCCTTTGATTGGTAAAGTCCTCCCTTGATAATCCAGTTCCAATGACGGCCAAATAAAACAAGAATCAGGAATACCCACTTTGATTCTTGCCTGCAACAAGTTCAACTGATCTAGCATACTTCCATCAACATCAATTAGGCATCTGCAATGTCCCCTTATTTTTGAACACACCTCTTTATGCCACAAATGAAATGGTAGACCTTCAATTCTAACCCATCAACCCAAAGAAGGAAACTTAGTTCCTCACAGAATCTCACCTCCTCGCACCTCTAAACAACAGTTCTCATACAAATTTCTTCAACTTTGTCAGTATTTTCAAAAAAGAGAATTTTTATCAACTTGGGAGAGGTTGCAAATGAATGTCTAATTTCACAATTTTTTCCCTTGCCGAGAAAGTAACTCTCTACAGGTGAAAGAGACCCTTTCTAATACAAATAATAGCATGATTCAACTTCCCTTGAACATTATTACCGATAGTAGTTCCCCTTGAATCCTCCCAAAGACTCTCACCCTTGTTTCTAATCATGTCTATCATTACCAGCAATATTTCCATCATTGATTCTTCCACCTAAAGCAACCTTGACAAAAGATTTAACAAACTTATTCCACTCACTTCCTTCAACTCCTTCACGAATAATCACACCAAACCTACTTCCATTGCTTGCTCTCAACCCCGATTTCACAACCCAAACCCACTGATAAAAAAGAAGAGGTTGACATCTATCTATAAGACAAATCATTTGACAACAAGAATGGTCATTGATGTCCACCCCAAAAAATTTCGGCTCAATCTTCACATTCATTCCTCTTTATAACTCCTCATTCAGGGTATCCAGCTCTTAGATTGCTTCACAAGATGACAAACCTTATCATGTGAATCCATCGGTCATTGTTAGTCTTTGAATGTTGCTCATTCGTAGGTGCCAAGCCACTACAGTACTTTTGAAGCAATAATACCATGCATCATTATTATGTTGCTTCAGCTGTTTAAAGGCTTATTTGGAAGCCTCCCTAAAAGAAAGGCAACTTGTATTGGAATGTTCACTCTATTCTACGGTCAATAACGAAAAAACAAAAATTATTAATCTACTCTTGCTATCAAATCTGCTACATTTCTTCATGCTCTACATCCTGATATTTACCTCAATCATGGATCAATTACATACGCGATATGGGTACAGGAACGCGGAACAATAATTTTATATTACACGATGCGATGAGGCTGGTAGGCTTAGTTGTACACTGGTTTTGGTCGTGGTCCACTTTGTAACTCTTAATCTGTTTTCATTATTAAATGCAATTACATAAAATTATACACCCATATAGATATAACTAGTAGTTATTTTATATTGCTGATAAAAGTTTCTAAGTGTACCATAATCCAAGACGACAAACAATCAAAATGTGTTTCAAGCACATCAAAATAAAAAAGGGTAACAATTTGGAGTTATGATTATAATTTATAATTACCTAAATTGGGGGCGAATTTGGGAATATGAGTACAACTTGGGATCAACAATTTAGGCAATCTGGATCGCGAACCCAACCCATTTCAAGACGTGCAACCCCAATTCGTGGAACGAAAGGGGGTATCACTGATTCCAGTATCTATGAGAGGAACCAGAAGTATGCATTTCCCTACTGTCATTTAACAAGAGGGATTCCTCCCAAGCCAGATCAAAAGGATCAACATTTTCCACGCCCCACGCTAGATTTACAAGCTCTCCTTGTCCTTTTAGTCTATACAATCACACATCCATACCTAGAACCGGACAAGAAAATCAAACAAAATGCATGAAACAAAAGCAAGCCCAAAACGGTGAAGAGTTGAAATCCAAAAACCAAACCTTTCAACTAATGCATGCCCATGTGTTAAGTAACATGTCATCCCCATCATAACTTTAATTAGTTGACCAAGGTTTTATATGAATCAAAACTTGAATAGTCAACCTTGCAAGTCGTAGTTCAAAGTTGAGCCATCCTTCTATATTGTTGTTTTGTCACAAATGCTCCATTGTTTAATAAAAAAATCCATATCCTCGACACAAACATATTCTTACAAGTGAAATTCCTTTTGTGCTCTTTCCTTGAACTTTTTATTTGGTACTTCAACTTGGACAAAATCATTCCTTATTTCAACCCCCCTCAAATCATTGGCAGGTTGCCAATCCATGTCAAATTGTTTTCGCTGCATCACACTTCCAATACAAGAAAACTTTGCTATGTTGTACACATTCATTTTCTTACTATATTTTTTCTCTCATTGTCACTAATGCTATAAGTATCCCAACTGCCTTTTCCATTTTCACATAAGCCTTCCCTCACTAGACAGAGAGAAACACTGTGACATTTTCACATAAGCCTTCACACAATGGAAAGGGTTAAGAAGATTTTGAAGCAAGAACAAACAAAACATGTCCCTATAAAAAGATCCATCATCTCAATAAAACAGTATTGATTTGAGGTTCTTTAAATGCCTCAAATAGCCTTCAGTAATAGACTGGCACATCTTTTATGCATTGGAGAATAACACAATGTAGGGTATGGCTTTGTAAGACTTCTCATTCTTAATCTTCCCCCCCCCCTTTTTTTTTGCCAACAAGCATGTCAGATTCTTTTTTGGCACTAGAAATTGTAACAATTTATGCAACCAAGAAATATCAAGGCTCAGCGCACGAGGCATGCTTTTAAGAAGAAAAACTTGACAAGAAAATGTTCAATCCCAAGCCATTGTGCCTCTAAAAACATGAATTTCCTTATGAACTCCAATTGTGCAGCTGGTGCAAAGAGAACAGTAATAAAATTTGAACTAAAATAGGGCATATTAACATGAGCAGCGATAATTAGCAGTACAATAAAATTTTAATGGGAAAAAATGTAGCAATTATGCATATCAATCAACAAGTTACCATGTTGATCAGCTTCTTTCAACTTCTCCTTGATCTCCGTCGACAACTCAAGAATCTCAGGTGTCTGCAATTCAATTGAATCAACAAAATGTCGTGAGTGGGAAAGATATCACAATTGCAAGTAATAATGGCCAAGTAATATAGCTTTAATCAATAACCATCACCTGAGTAACCTCAGACACTGAGATTGCAATAGCAGCTTTAGCGTCCTCATCGTCAAGACGTTTGAGTGCTCTAGCAATTTTCCTATCACACTCAACAATAAGCCTATCTATTACATCCTCCAATTCCCTATCATAGTTATCAAAACCCTTCAATTTGGCTTCTTCATATCTGGAAAGAGTTAAGATATCATGAAGGATGTTACAGAATTCAACATTTTAGATGACAATTTATAACATCAGCATCAGGTATCAATCCAGGCGGAGAACAATTGAAAATAATCATAAGCCCTCATAAAGAATGCTTGTTTATTCATTCGTCGCTTTTTTGCTTATGGAGTATGGAGTAATTTGTTTAATGTGATTGGAGATGCTTGGTTTTGTCCTCCTATAATAGAGTAATACAGATTAAGCTTTGGTGATTTGGAAAAGAAGTTAAGGCCCTTTGTAATGGTGCATCAATGACAATTCTTTGGTGCGTTTTCTTGGAAAGCGATGCAAGAATTTTCTACGATCATTCTCTTCCTTTCAACTTCGATTTGGAGCAGAATTGTGTTCCCCACTTCTTTAGAGACCAAACACACAGGGATTTTCAAGAGATGGCTCTATCAGATTTCCAAAGGTATTGAAAGGAAATTCTTTACATTTCTTCTTTTTGGTATTTTACTTTGTTCTTTCCATCTTTCTTTTTCTATTTTTTTTAAGATATCTTGTCCACCATATAATACCTTTTGGGGCGTGTTTGCTTGGGGCATATGTGAGGTATTAGGAGGTAGTATTGAGTAAACTAGTACATGGGGCCACTTACCCACTTATACCTTGTTTGTTTTGCAATTTAAACTCAGTACTATNTTTGGGGCGTGTTTGCTTGGGGCATATGTGAGGTATTAGGAGGTAGTATTGAGTAAATTAGTACATGGGGCCACTTACCCACTTATACCTTGTTTGTTTTGCAATTTAAACTCAGTACTACTTTTTGGATCCTTTTCCCGGCCCAAAAGCTACAGTTGCTCCAAACCCATGTACACGGCTATATGTAATACCACTTGGGAGGTGGTATACAATAAATTAGTACATATGGCTCATTTATACCTTGTTTGTTTTGCAATTTAAACTCTATTATTTTTCAAATCCTTTTCTCGACCCGAAAGCTACAATTGCTCTAAACCCATGTACATGGCTATATATAATCAGTAGGGTCAAGGACCACTGCGATATAAGAGCATTAATTGATTGTAATACCCTTTCCCACATATCCTTCATATAAAAACCATTATGTCTCACTCTAACCCTAAGTGCCACTGAACACAACAGATGAACCCTCTTCTGTCCATCGGCCTCCGGTTCTCCATGACGGAGACTTCTCCCACCTCTCTGTCTCTTGTCATTTCTTACACCCACACCCATTCCATAGTATACCCACAATCCCCCACCAATTGATTTTAGTCTAGAGTGTGATTGATCTTTGTATTTTTGGATTTGAATTTTGTATAGCTTACATCGATTGCATCAGTCCGAACGAGTTCGTCGATCGCCTCCGTTCTCCACTCAAGTATCCTCTCTGACCTCACCATGTTTCCTCGTCTCTCACACATTCTCAATCTAGAGTTTTGCCATAAAAAATTGACTAACTTGACAATTGTTTGTTTATATTTTTTACAATTGTGTTAGGCCTTTAGATGACACTCACATTAGAGCTAAAGTGCCACTAGTGCAACAAGCAAGATATAGGACAAGAAGGGGTCAATTTTGCAACAAACGTGTTACGGGTATGTGGACCTGACATGAAATTCATATATGTTCTGTCCCGTTGGTAGGGGTCTACAGTCGATTCAAGAGTGCTTCGCGACACAGTCAGCAGGCGGACTAACTTAAGGGTTGAAAAGGGTAGGCTACAAACTAGATATGCTTAAGTAATTGATGAATTCGTCCTAAAAGAATTGATTGGTATCTAATGGACATATGAAATGATTACAACAAGCACATATTACTTATGTGATGCTGGATACACCAATGGCGAAGGTTTTCTAGCTCCTTTCATCTTGATGAATTCAAGAGTCGAAGGGCCGCTTCACGAAATGCCATGGAATATTTCAATCTATAACACTCCTCCACTTGGAACGTTATTGAGAGATGTTTTGCTCTTCCCAAAATGCTATGGGCAATACTTCGAACACCATGTTTTTACCCTGTTAGAACGGAGATGGTAGTTGACATATTAGAAGAGTGCTTAACATAGTTTGTTGTCAATGATGCTAATGACAATACAACTGCAATCGATATTTTTGAGACATCCAATGAGTGGATTGCTTGGAGGAAGCAATTAGCAAAAGAAATGTATAATGAAAGAAGGGTGTCTTAATGAACTTGTAGTAAAGGTTATTTGCTTGGGAATTTTAATTGTGCGAATGTTAGATTTTACAAGTCAAAATATGATATGACATTGTGATGTGCATTGTATTGATGTTATTAGCGACTACAAATAATGTAATGAATTTGATGGTGTCTTATTTCGCATAATTTGTTGAATGTTGATGTATAGAGTGTAGCATGGCTAGTGTTGGTTGTTCCCAAACTATGAGTGGCATTCAAGCTAAAAAAGGTACTATGCAAATATGGACTATATGCATTGAAAGATCTCTATGTAGCCGGTTTGAAATCCCCTAACGGCACATTTAGGCCTGGATCTTGCAAATATTAGTGCACAAGCTAAGGGACCAGAGGTACCAGAATTCGCTACCAAGCATACAACCCACGATCTAGGTCGCACGACCCTAAACAGGGTTCGTTCATGACCCAAGTCGTCAAATATACTGACCCCAAATGCAAAACTCTACCGCCTGTCGAATTATAACCACATATCGTTCCAAAAACAAAAAAATCCACAAAATAAAAAAGGTAAGGAAGAGAAAAAAAAACAAACAAATAAACAATAAAAGGTCATAACAAGCAGAATCAAGTGAAGATGTTACATATCCACATACCCTAATATTTTGTCTTATGCCAATTTGTGGATGACTGGGGATTGGAAATAAAGGCTAAGTGATATCAAAATCACAGTTATAGACTTTCTAGAAGGATGACATTGATATGGTGTCAATATTGTAATTAAATCTAACCTTTTACCCTTTCATATATTGTAGAATATATGTATTCAAATTTATATTTATCGTGATTTGATTTTTTTTGTAATACAAATATGAAACCATTATTTCTTATTCATGATTATTAGATGGTATGTTGTCATGGGTCGTGAATCTTAATTCCCTTTGGTTTTTTTAAAATAAATACAAAATAGATATAAATTAATTATGTGTGTATGCATATAATAAAAAAAATATATTGAAAACTAACACATGCATAAATATTAACTCACCATGTGTGCATAGATGCATACTTATATATAATTTCTTATAGGATCAAAATATCATTTCGAAATGGTCGAAACGGCCCAAGCATTTCCGTTTTCAATGCAACCAAAAAAATCAATAATTGAATCAAAATTCATGTACTTTGAGATTTTTGAGGTATTTTCGAATGTTTTGAGTTGTTTCGAGATGTTTCAACATGTTTTCAACACTATGTAAGAATATTTTGAGGTGTTTTAAGATGTTTAGATATATTTGGACCAATGTTTTCAAAAATCTTGAAAATAAATCCTAAGGTGGTGTTTGGATTGCCATGGGAGGATTGGATTGGATTGGATTGGATTGAATTTGAATCTGAACCCAATCCAACCCAATGCAAAGTAGTCCGGATTAGAGGATTGTAAAGATGGGATTCAAATCCTATCCCATCTTTGAATAAGTTTCATTTGGTTTGTGGGCCCCATTAACATGTGAAGCTAAAACATACTAAAATGACTATTTCACCCTTGTGTAAAACAATGTGATCCAAACCTGTACCATGTTTGGAATGGAATGAAAAAAAAAAAGCCCAATCCATTCGTATTGTCTTTTTTACAAAAAAAAATATTAATCAATAAATTACGCATTTTNCCATCTTTGAATAAGTTTCATTTGGTTTGTGGGCCCCATTAACATGTGAAGCTAAAATTTACTAAAACGACTATTTCACCCTTGTGTAAAACAATGTGATCCAAACCTATACCATGTTTGGAATGGAATGAAAAAAAAAAGCACAATCCATTCGTATTGTCTTTTTTACAAAAAAAAATATTAATCAATAAATTACGCATTTTTTCAAAATATTGCAATAAATATTTTGTTAAGTTATTGAATTTAATTTGTAGAATACACTTTTAATCACAAAAATCATCTAAGGCATCATGAAAAAAAAAATCCAACTGAAAAACAATACACATATCGATACAACTCAAGCGTAAGTCATTATTTATTTATTTGTAGAAAATCCAAACTTGTGTGTTTAAAAATAAAACTTAATTGTTTAAATTGACCTGAACATCCCTGACCGTTGAATTAAAAAAAAAAAGTACAAAGTGAAAATGTGGCATGTGAAGGAAATATGTGAGAGAGGAATATAGTTCAAGGGCTGAAAGTGTAATTATTACTTCTAAATTTTCCAGAAGTAATTTGTTCCAGGTAGGGGTGAAATGGTAAAAGGTAGTGTGTATCCTGTCGACTGAAAGTGAATCCCAAAGGTAGTGTGGGATACCATTGTCCTGATGAGGGATAATGAGGCTGAAAAACTACAGCCGTAGTTTTTGAAAACCAACAAATATCTAGCCTGAAAATCCATTGCCAAAGCAAGGATAACTAGGGCCCACACCTTAATATCCAATCCCACATGGTGTATCTACCTTTATCCAGCCATCCAAACACTACCTAAATTTTTTTATCCGTTTCCATAATATTTCCGAAACGTTTATATTTCTTAGGCAATCAAAACAATGCGCTGAAATGATATTTTAATCCTTGACCACCGTTAACTAATGAGGAGATTGGACCATGTCAAAGTGTAAGTCAAGGCATGAATGTTAACAATGACACTCCTCCTGCCAGTAAGATCATAAAGAAGAGCGTTGTGACTATTGCTGAGGTTATTGCAACTAGTTTGGGTGATATGACCAAAGTGCTTGGGTGATTATGTTGACATTTGTGGTAGGAAGGTAGAGCATGTCGCAAATAGGCTCGATCATGAGTAGGATGTTTCCAATGCGAGGAAGGAGAAGGATATTTGACAAGTTGGCAAAAATCACCTTGATTGATGAGGATTCGATGTTTGAGGATGGATATAGAATTGCATGTGATCCGGTCAAAGTAAACTTGTTCTTTAGTTTGCCTGAAAATCCCAAGCCATCATGGGTAAGAAAGTTGTGTCGAAACAATGACCCACAGGTGTAGTGTAGTTAGCCTACACTATTATGTATTTTTGTTTCTACAACTATGACATTAGACTAACTTTGTGTAGGTAAACATGATCATGTAGACCTATTTTGTATAGAAAGTAGGTTTGCAGGGAAACTACTTTTTAACCTTTTTATGTTTGTCTATGTTTTGCTTGTAAAATATTATGATGTAGGTAAGGCAAGTTGAAGTTACTGTATTAATTTGCTTGCCCCTTATTTTTAATATAGTCGGTTCTTTTGGTGGTGATCTAATGGATAAAATGAACTAACTTGTTCTTAGGTAGATTAGTTATGCACGGTCGACAACGATTCTACGTTGTGTTCTTTGGAAGACAAGTTGGTGTGTATAGGACATNATATAGTCGGTTCTTTTGGTGGTGATCTAATGGATAAAATGAACTAACTTGTTCTTAGGTAGATTAGTTATGCATGGTCGACAACGATTCTACGTTGTGTTCTTTGGAAGACAAGTTGGTGTGTATAGGACACGGCAGGAATGTCATTTCCAAGTAAATAGGTACCCAGGTGCATTGTACAAATCATATGATGTGTACAACGAGGCTGAAAATACATTGCACATGTCTATTGTGCACGACGATAATACACAGATGGTAAATCTTGTTTGCCAAGTGGCTGTTCATCCGGATCCACCATTGGATAATCAAATTCCCGACGATGAAATGGTTGTAGCAACACCTATACATGTCAAGGAAAATGAAGGGGAACAGCATAATGTCNGTGCATTGTACAAATCATATGATGTGTACAACGAGGCTGAAAATACATTGCACATGTATATTGTGCACGACGATAATACACAGATGGTAAATCTTGATTGCCAAGTGGCTGTTCATCCGGATCCACCATTGGATAATCAAATTCCCAACGATGAAATGGTTGTAGCAACACCTATACATGTCAAGGAAAATGAAGGGGAACAGCATAATGTCGGTAACTGCCTCATGTATGTCGTGATGTTTACTTTGGGTGTGGTATTCACCCATATTCTCTCCTCCTTTTTGGGTGAATAGAGTGAACTTCTCTTCTTTATGGAATGTAATTTTGGGGATTTTGCGATTTTTCAATTACTTGTATGATGTATTTGCTATTATGTAAACAGGATATGTTAAATGTAGATAATGTTGTAATGTTATGTAATTATTATAGTTAGAAATGGCGTAGGTTGAATTAAGTGAGGATGAATGTGAGGTCCTCCTTGATATCTTGGTAGAGTATAAAGGTTGGGAAAAAAATGCCACTACCAGGTCATTACTCTTAAGAACTTTTTTGAGAAATTGTTGAACCAACTGAAGAGGAGGATGTCAACGTTTGGGTTGAAACTAAGGGAGCTTGCATCACAGATTTGGTTCTGGGAGAAACAGTTTCTGACTATGCTTGCAATGCTAAAGATATGGAAGTTTGCAAGGGATGAAAGGCTGAAGAAAGTGATTGTTAGTCATTTTCCATGGGGGTGATATATATTTGAAGGTATTTGTTATTTGCTATACTTCTGTTTTGGTTGTCAAATATGGGTGAATTAACATTGTCATGGTACGTACTCATTCATGTTTGTGTGTGGATACATGCAGAAAAATAGGTTTGCAAGGAAGTACAGCACAAAGTCAGGCCTTCTATTTGACACTTTGAAGGAGATATTTGAGCCCCATGGTTTGCAATTTCAGTGGAAGGGTAGCCATGTAATTTAATGTGTATATCCCCATGTTTGGGTGTTTTTGGTAGTTGCCGGACTTTTGTATGAAATTAGTGAATACAACACCTCCATAGGAATGTTGATACTTTACTTATTACTAATAATAGTTAATTACATCATAATATAAATTAAGTAGGAAGAAGAATAAGTGTAGTAAGTCTTGCCATGTCAAAAATGGACTGTGGATATAATGTTTATTATGTTGTGTAGTTGGTTACCCTCCAGGGTTACCATTCAGGGTGAAAGACCGAAAATACAGTGACTTGTGTGTACCTTAGGGAATGAATTACTAGGTAATTGGCACACAGTATTCCCAGCACAAGTGATTCCCTTCAATAAATAATGTCATGGATTGGAACGGACTAAGGATAAAACTATCTTTTTTGCTTGTAAATAGCCGGCAAACATTTACTTTTGTAGTGAGTCCCACAATCCATTTATACTCACACAAACAAGAGATAATATTGAATTTGTATTTAAAACTAATACTAATCTCCCAAAGGATTGGTTTGGTTTGGTATGGATAGCATTTCCCAATACCAAGATATGCTATCCGGCAAACAAACGCACCCTTTTAGTCCATTCTTTTCCTAAGTAACTTCCTATTTTTTATCAAAAACAAATTCACAAGCAAAGATTGTCAACATAATTCTCAAAAGCACAGCCATCGAACAATGAGCATACAAAAGATGGAAAATCTACCAACAAATGAGTGATAGATCACAAGCAAGGCAATTTGCTTGTCGGTTGAAACATAATGATTAATGTTACCATTAGCCGCTCACTCTACGTGTGATACACTTTGCTAAGAGGAATTCTCATTTCCAATCGCTATACTTATATTCCTTCAGCTCCACTTAAACNACTCTACGTGTGATACACTTTGCTAAGAGGAATTCTCATTTCCAATCGCTATACTTAAATTCCTTCAGCTCCACTTAAACATATTGGTTCATTGCTACGATATCACCAAAAAACCAAACCAACAAAAAAAAAAAGTTAATAAATGGAATGTACCGATGCCCATTAATCTAAGAAAGGGGTGGACTACATATTGACCCAAAGTGGGACATTATTCATCCTAAGTGATCACGTTCATATTGGAACTCACAGTTTTTGGCTAGACATTATTGCCACTACACTAAACAATGACACCTTCACATTCCATGATGGCGGTCAAAGTCAAACCAGATCCACCATTTCAAAAATAGTCAAGTATAAATATAGTAACAAAATGACACTTAAAATCCACAAGCAACTGTAAAATTGCTATGTGATTGCTTCACTAATACACAGTTCTTAACTAGTTGCATGGGAAGACCTACAAAACATAGACACACCACAAGTAAAAGGATACTCTTTCCTCAGCTGCAATGAATGCACCTTCGGGCATGGGCCCATATCCATTTTCTGCAACACCCAAAAAGAGGCAAAGAGATATATAAAGATTGTAATGCTTATTTCAGCAAACAAACAAAATTAAAAAATCACATCAATGCAAACAGAAAAAAGAAAAATCACTTCAGCCCTGTCTAACCCTGTCTGAGACAGAGCAATTTAAGAATAAAGGTGCCAAATTGTATTAATGTTCATGTACACATATATACATGTATATGTATATATATATATGTATAAATACATACATATATATATATAGAGAGAGAGAGAGAGTTGTGTGCGCAATACGTACTGTGAGTTGGAAAAGTTCGTGAGGACAAAGGCCAACGAGGTAGAGACGGCATACGTCACGGTCATAGTACTTGCGATTGACTTCCCTTACGTCCCCGTTACGGTTTGCTCCCATCAGCACGTCCAGCTGCTTCCTTATCGCATCCATTCTCTCCCTCTCACTCTTTCTCTCTCCAAGGGTTTCTTTCAGAGAGCTCGTAGTGTGTTAGGGTTTCGTCTCGCGGGGAAAAGCGCATGCGGGAAGAGATGTTAATAGATTCACCGTCTAGTCTACCCTGGTTTTCTATTTAGGCCCTTGTATTTAGTTATATTATCAATCGAGAGATTCTAGTTTTACCTTTTTGGATTTTCTCTTTTTATTTCATTTTTTGTTGAAAAACAATGTGCGTCGGCACATGGTGGATGACCCACTCTCATAAAAACACGTTTGCCTGATTACCACATTTTAATTTCCCTCTTGTCGAATCAATAGTGTATCTATCTCTGCTTATAAAAGGCGGGTCAGCTCGTCTACTGTAAGGGAATCAACTACATGTTTTGCGGTTTAGTGGAACAACATTGTTTTACGGCTTTTCAAAACTTTTTTTTTTTTTTGAAATACCACTCACTAAAACAGCATTGTTTTGGACCCAGCCATGGCCACCAAGCCCACCTTCCCTTCATCCCTCAACCCACTCCACCTCCTCCGCCACCACCACCACATTGCTCCATAGTCCCTCAATCACCGCTTCAACAATGGTGAGAGTCTATGCGGCCTCTTCCTCCTCAATTTCTCCCCAACTCTCACTAAGATCATGTGCCAAGTCAAGTATGAGGTTAGGATGAAGAAGATCGAAAGAAATTGAGGCCGTTGATGAGGGTGAATCACATTCAAATGGGGTCGTCGGATCTGAGTGAGTGCATGGGGTACTTGTGAGATCCGGGGAATAACAAGGTGAGGGAGGTGATTAGGGCAGCGAAAAGGCGGAATTAAAAATGGGTACCAAAGCCAAAGCGGCGATGGTGGTGGTGGGGCTTTCTTGTCTGGTTTTGCCATGTCACATGACAGTCCTGAGAATGGGTATGGGTGTTGTTACTTTAATTTTGTTATCCTTATTTTTTTTCTTGTTAAATTGAATATGCTGGCAACATAAAGTGATCAAGTGTTGATGTTGAGCTTTGATCAATTCATTTTTGCATTTCATTGTTGTTAAAGTGTTTGTTTACTTATTATTATTATTATTTTGAAATACTGAAATTCAGAAAATAAGCTTATGACAATGGTTCTATCAGGAATGAGCTCATTGTTGTATTTTATTATAGTTTATTTCAAAATACAAAAGTTATTAATTATTACATATAAAAGATATTTTGAATATTTGGTATTGTATTAACAAAAAACAGAATCAAAACAAACCCCTTAACCGCTATCGTTACTGGTCGTTGTTTGTGTCGGTTGAATGAATGCCCAACTGTTATTATTAGAGTTTAAACTATTCAATGCATGTAAAAGCCATACGAATGCCCTGACATTTTAAATGGAATAATAGAATAGTTGCTTGTATATTTTGAGACTTGCATCCATTCCTCCAATCAACACATCGGGCCATTGCATTCCTTCTAATACTATTTAAAGCAACAATAGCTTAGGTTTCGAATGATGGTTAAGAAATTCTCTCCTTTATTTTCTAAAAGTTGTTCACATATTTGCTCTCTAAACCAATGGATTTGTACACAACATTTTGTGAATTTCTTTGCAATCTATCCAACCAAATTGCTTTGATTTGCTTTCAAACAAAAAATTCATCTATCTTTTCATTGGTTTTGGGAATGATCAAGAGTTGTTTATGATACCTCTACATTTATGAGTGCACACTTGTAGAGAAGCGATAGTTGAATTCTGGAAGATAGAATGTCATAACCTGTTGCACCAAATTTTGTATTTAAATGGACAAAATCTATTCTTAAGAACAATAACTAAAAGCCTCTATTGATAAGTTTTATTACCTTCTTTATTTTTTGTTTGTAGCATTCTAGACTTGNCTTTTTTTTTTTTTTGAAATACCACTCACTAAAACAGCATTGTTTTGGACCCAGCCATGGCCACCAAGCCCACCTTCCCTTCATCCCTCAACCCACTCCACCTCCTCCGCCACCACCACCACATTGCTCCATAGTCCCTCAATCACCGCTTCAACAATGGTGAGAGTCTATGCGGCCTCTTCCTCCTCAATTTCTCCCCAACTCTCACTAAGATCATGTGCCAAGTCAAGTATGAGGTTAGGATGAAGAAGATCGAAAGAAATTGAGGCCGTTGATGAGGGTGAATCACATTCAAATGGGGTCGTCGGATCTGAGTGAGTGCATGGGGTACTTGTGAGATCCGGGGAATAACAAGGTGAGGGAGGTGATTAGGGCAGCGAAAAGGCGGAATTAAAAATGGGTACCAAAGCCAAAGCGGCGATGGTGGTGGTGGGGCTTTCTTGTCTGGCTTTGCCATGTCACATGACAGTCCTGAGAATGGGTATGGGTGTTGTTACTTTAATTTTGTTATCTTAATTTTTTTCTTGTTAAATTGAATATGCTGGCAACATAAAGTGATCAAGTGTTGATGTTGAGCTTTGATCAATTCATTTTTGCATTTCATTGTTGTTAAAGTGTTTGTTTACTTATTATTATTATTATTTTGAAATACTGAAATTCAGAAAATAAGCTTATGACAATGGTTCTATCAGGAATGAGCTCATTGTTGTATTTTATTATAGTTTATTTCAAAATACAAAAGTTATTAATTATTACATATAAAAGATATTTTGAATATTTGGTATTGTATTAACAAAAAACAGAATCAAAACAAACCCCTTAACCGCTATCGTTACTGGTCGTTGTTTGTGTCGGTTGAATGAATGCCCAACTGTTATTATTAGAGTTTAAACTATTCAATGCATGTAAAAGCCATACGAATGCCCTGACATTTTAAATGGAATAATAGAATAGTTGCTTGTATATTTTGAGACTTGCATCCATTCCTCCAATCAACACATCGGGCCATTGCATTCCTTCTAATACTATTTAAAGCAACAATAGCTTAGGTTTCGAATGATGGTTAAGAAATTCTCTCCTTTATTTTCTAAAAGTTGTTCACATATTTGCTCTCTAAACCAATGGATTTGTACACAACATTTTGTGAATTTCTTTGCAATCTATCCAACCAAATTGCTTTGATATGCTTTCAAACAAAAAATTCATCTATCTTTTCATTGGTTTTGGGAATGATCAAGAGTTGTTTATGATACCTCTACATTTATGAGTGCACACTTGTAAAGAAGCGATAGTTGAATTCTGGAAGATAGAATGTCATAACCTGTTGCACCAAATTTTGTATTTAAAGGGACAAAATCTATTCTTAAGAACAATAACTAAAAGCCTCTATTGATAAGTTTTATTACCTTCTTTATTTTTTGTTTGTAGCATTCTAGACTTGAATTTTCACAACAATCTTAAGAATAGAGTCAATATGAATGCTACAATTATAAACAAGACTATTCATGATGTGACCAAAATCGAGTCTTTCAATGGGTCTAATTTTAAGCATTGACAATAGAAAATTATGACGTTACTTGATATAGCAAGTGTTGCTTTTGCTTTGATTAATTTTAAACCTGAAGAAGATATAAAAAATTATGTAAGAGAAAAAGAAAAATGGGAAAAGGCTAATAAGTTTTGTCGAAATATTATCTTGAATGTTCTATCAAATGAACTGTTTGATGTTTACTATAATTATAAGCATGCTAGGGAGATTTGGGATAATTTGGTGAAAAAGCATATTGTTGAAGATGAGGGAATCAAAAACTATGCAATAGGAAATTTTTTAGACTATAAGATGGTTAAGGATAAGGAAGTGTCTTCTCAAATTCATGATTGTTAATGAGTTGAGGAATATAAAAATTACTTTGCCTGAATCATTCGTAATAGGTGCTTTGATTGAAAAATTACCTAATTCTTGGAAAGTTTACAAGAACAATCTTAAACACAAAAGGAAGGATATGTCTTTGGACGATGTGATCATTCACATTAGGATTGAGAAAAAAAAATCATTTGAAGGATAAAATTGAAAAGGCCTGGGAAAATGTCTCTAAGGCTAATGTTGTGAAGACAACGAATAAGCCTCAATATAAGTATAGGAAAAGGAATCATAAGGGGGAAAATCTCAATAAGGCTCAGGACCCTAGTTTTAAAAAGAAAGGTAATTGTTTTTGCTTGTGGAAAAGCAGGACATTATGCTCAAGAATGTCGACATCAAAAGCGGAACGACAAACCTACCAAGCCGAATGTCAATTTGGTTGAGGCGGATGATATTATTGTTGTGGTCCTATCTAAGGTTAATTTGACTGTTGCGACAAAAGATTTGTTGATAGACTCTAGGGCTAACAAACATATCTGTGACAATGGAAGTGTTTTTACCTCCTACACACCTATGGGGGATAGAGAGGAACAAGTGTTCATGGGTGACTCTAGACCCTTATCTATTATGGGTAAGGGAAAGGTGTTACTAAAGTTGACTTCTAGAAAGATGCTTTCATTGTCTAAAGTGCTCCACGTGCCTAATATTAGTTGGAACTTGGTGTCGGTATCTATCTTGAATAAGGTGGGAGTGCAAGTAACATTTGAGAGTGATAAGATCATAATGACCAATACTGGGACATTGTTGGGAAAGGTTATTGTAATAAGGGCCTTTATGTACTAAATGTCGCTGAAGTCATGAATGAGAATGAATCTAGTTCTTTTACTTTTGTGCTTAAATCCCTTGATATGTGATATGGTAGATTAGGTAATGTGAATTTTACTATATCAAGAAAATGAGAGAATTAGGTCTCGTCTCAAATTTTTTGAAATTGAATGTTGATAAATGTGAGATTTGTGTTGAATCTAAAATCACTACAAAGTCTTCTAGAAAGGTTGAAAGAGAAACCAAATTATTAAGTTTTATACATAGTGATTTTGGTGATCTTAAGAATACTATGACAAGAGGTGAAAAAAAAATATTATGTTACTTTTATTGATGATTGATCGAGGTATACTAAATTATACTTGTCGAGAAATAAGGATGAATCAAGTGAAATGTTTATCAAGTATAAACTAGAAGTTGAAAATCAACTAAATAGAAAA